TCTCCGGGTGTAATACTAGGAATATATTACCGCAGGCTCTAGAGCTGTTTAGTTTGAGACATTAATATATCTGAACAACAATAGTACACATTGACTTTGAAGTGTGATTCAGGGTACGAAATTTTCTCACCTTCTGATATTCTTCATACTAAGAAAACGCTTCGTTATCTTCTTTGTTTTATTTTTGGAAACAGTTTTTACACCCCACTCTTTTGCTTATCTCTGGACTCGCTCAGGAAACTACGGAATAAATTTTGATTTCTTATTTCGCTCAGTCTATTCAAAAGATTACCCTTAATAAAATGTTAGCTTTCTATTATTTCAAGCTGTAGAGCTTTAGGAACAGGATTGATGATTTCAAATAGTGAAGATAAAAGGTTTGCCTTTTTAGTGGAAATAAAATTAAGTTGTTACAATGTTTTCATTTCTAATATAATTCATTAAAAAAATAATGTTTCCTTATAGCTGATAAAGCGTCGTTTCTTGGAGACCTAGGACACCTTTTTAAGGGTAATTTTATATTTTTAGATGAGTTGTTAGTCGTTACTCAGAATCGACATGCACTTTATACTAATGCTAAAAAAAGTATATTTTTGGGTTATTTCGTTTACCAGCCTTAAAAAAACCACCCTAGAGTGGATTCTCGCAAACGCGTGTGCATCTATCCATCACAAACGGGGGTTAATAATCGGAGTTCACTTTTATTTTTTCTTCCGACTTTTTACCCTAAGTACAGTTTAATACATACACTTTAATTATTAATTAATTTTTAATAACCAAATATTTAATCAAAAAACGTATTACTTATTGCCGTTAGCGTCACCGTTACAGCCCTTACACCGGTACAGTCCATGCATTACGTATTGCAAAATTAAAATAAAATTAATTTTAATCAAACTGATTCGTTTTAAATAATATTATTACGTAATTTATTAATTCTGCAATGTGTCCAGGCAATTACCAACACTAATTTCATTATTGAGTCGTCATTTAATATCCTGGATAAATTCGTCTCTTTAAATGTACATTTGCAATTGTATTCTAAATTACTTTGCTAAGAACTGGTACGTATTTTGCAAGATTCCAAAAAACGTTAACAATGAATGTTTGTCTTCATTTTTAATTATTTTATGCCAAGATTTCAATGAATTTGTAATTTTGTGAGGTACTCCTTTTATTTCGGCGTTGACCTTTCAAACAAAAAATATGCATAAATTTTTATTGATAATGCCAGACGGGAAAGATCATATTTCTATAAAACCCAGGGGAGAAAATCGAAAGAAAAATAATGTAAATGAATTCCGATTATGCACCCCGTCTAGGCAACTATTAATTAAGCCCCTGAAAGTTGGTAGAATTTTTCAGCTCAGGGGCTAATTGACCACTGTAAATTTTGTGCTTGTAATATATTTATCAATACAGATTATTATTTCTTTAGATACATTATCATAATTTTTTGTTATCGAGATGTATCGAAAAACTACAGAAAATTGGACAATTTCTGACACGTCTTTTTTAGGCACGTTGGGCACTATTGGATGATACGATATTTTTCTCGGGAAGTACGGCCTTAAACATTTAAGTGAGTTTTTGGATAACATTTTACGAATTTTTGATTACGCACGTTGGGGGCCCTGTAGCCCGGGGGCCCCGTATCATTGATACGGCTGATACGGCGGTAGCTACACCCTGATTAACTTATTAAAATTTTACACGAAGAAATGTGTAACTAGCGAAACGAATGGCGTTTACAATTTGGAAGACTCTTGCATTATTAATTATTACATGCACAGATTGACGACGATTGATAATAGACAAAGGGTATCAGCGTCAATATATGCTCGGGGTTTCTCTGCGTGATAAACTTAGAGATAAGGATATCCGCAGTAGAACCAGAGCGACCGACATAGCCCAACGGATTAGTAAGCTATGACACTTCCACAACTAAGATGAATCTAACGATACTCCATCATCATCACCATTACAGCCCTTCGCAAGTCCACTACTGAACACAGGCCTACCCGAAAGAATGCCAGAAAGTACGGTCCTGAGCCATCTGCATCCATCGACTTCCTACATGTCTTACTAGGTCGTAACTTCATCTACGATCTGAATACCAGCGTCAAATAGCAGCTTAATGCTGCTGTGTTTCGTATGGTGAGTGTAGAGAACCGAAGGCCCCTTTTACTGGAAACGAGGCATTCTATCTTAGTCCTCAAGGCTGACAACGCATCTGCATTTTGATTCGCAAACGAGGATAGATGTAGATGTCTATGGGCCGCAGCAACCACTTACCATCAGGTGGACTGTGTGCTCACCTGTCATCCCTTTTCGCACTCGCACTACACTTCGCCTACCGGTACGAGGCTGCCACTCGAGAACCTTTTTACCCCATCAGTTGTCGGTTCTTCTAGCTACATGACTGGCCGATTGCCACTTTAGCTTACTAATCCGTTGGGCTATGTTTGTCACCCTGGTTGTACTGCGGAAATCCTCATTTCGAAGTTTATCACGCAGACATAGCTCGCAGAGCGATTTTGAGCGTCCTCATACGACCAGAAGTGAAGGACCACGTCTCAGATTCATTACTCATCACTAGCAACACGCACTGGTTGTACAATCTCGTTTTCAAGTTGTAGGTAGGTATACCTAACGAGATGAAGTGTCGTAATATCCCGAACGCTGCCCAACTGAGCTGAATTTCTCGTTCAAATCAAATCAAATCAAATCATTTATTTGCAATCTAAGTGTACATAATTGGTATTAAATTAAAAATGTGCTTACAACTTAGACGCCCTTTTCAGGCACTGCAAATTTGACAAGGGCACAGCTTATATACTATTAATATACATAAAATAAAATAAAATTAAAAGCTATAAAAAGATATAAAAATATATAATAGTGTTATTTTTTATCTAAATACTCTTCTACTGAGTAGAAGGGGTTTTGTTTTAAATATTTACCGAGTCTTGATTTAAATTTGGTTAATTCTGATATATTTTTTATTTCCTGTGGTAATTTATTATATACTTTTATTGCCATATAGTAGGGGCTTGTATTTAACATTTTTGTTCGCGACTGTGGTAGGTATAATTTGTTTTTGTTACGTGTATTTAAGTTATGCGTATCTTTAATTTTCTTAAAACTATTATTATTTTTGTGGACAAACAGGCATAGATCATAAATGTACATACAGGGTAAGGTAAGAATATTTAGTTGTTTGAAATACGGTCTACAGCTAGTAGTGTTATCTATCTGGGCTAGTATTCTAACGCACTTCTTCTGGGTAATAAAAAGCTGCTGCACATCGACGCTACTTCCCCACAACATAACTTCAAAGTTGGACTTACATAGTCGGACTATTTGTCCCAGGTAAACATACTCGTTAACAACTTCGAGCTTAATGATCCCAACAATTACTGGCATAGGTGTTACATGGGCGTTACACATGATCTTTCTTTGTTTCCATGTTCATCTTTAGACCTATCCGTTGGGAGACACTATTGAGATCTTTGAGCACAGTGTTTAGGTTTTCCAGCTTGTATTTTCAGATGTAGTCGCCGCTGTAATTGATTTTATCACTGTGTTCTTTCCAGGCCAGTAGCCTGAAAATGTTTTATAATGCAGCGATGAAGAGTTTCTATGATATAACGTCACCCTGTCTTACACCTCTCTATAGTTGGATAGGTATCGAGCTCTAGTTCTTTATTCGGATAGCCATCGTAGCCCTACTGTACAAACACTTTAGCACTTCGATATACCGACAGTCAACTTGGCACCGGTGAAGGGACTGTAGTATCGTCGCCCAAATTTCGATGGAATCAAAGGCTTTCTCATAGTCTACATACGCTAGGCAAAGTATGCAAAGTATGAGATTGTACTCTTCGGTCTTCTGTACAATTTACCGAAGCCTTTCGGAAACCAGCTTGTTCGGGAGGCTGGAAGTCGTTGAGTCTGCGTGCGAAACGATTTGTAATGACTTCCGAAAACAGCACCAAGGCGCGACTTAGAAGTGAAGTGTGGCTATAGTTCTTCAAAAGACACCTCTCTTAGTGACGGACGTGAGATTTTATGTTATTTTCTATTAGGTGCATTTTATTATTTGTCATAATTTTTTAAATTTATATACAATACAAAAAAGTGACTGAAATAGAATAATAATTTTATTTTAATATTCGACATAGTCTACAAAAGTGGATATTGAGCGTTATTTCATAGTACGCGTGCAAACTAACCTCGATAACCGCTAGCACCTATAAAACAAACAATTAGTAATTGCAAGAGTGAATAGGCTTTTGGTACGGTAAGACAGTACAACTTATCATCTAGGGGTTCATCATCACATACCACCACGTTGTTGTTAAGAACTGGCTTCGTGAGAAAACCTGCATGTCTCATAAATTAAAACTTAATATGCCCATATGAAAACGTTGTTGCTTTTCTTGAAAAACAAGACCACCGCAATTCTGCTCCACGCCTCCGGAGTAGCCCCACCTTGGAGAATGGAGTTAAAGAGGACTTCAAGAACGGGTTTTTCACCTGCTTTCAGAAGCTCCGCTGTAATTCTATCCTCGCCTGGGGCCTTGCCGTTTTTAAGGTGCTAGAGGGCCATTATAATCTCTCGCTCTATATACGTCCCAATGCTGGGAACTTCTCATTTCAGAGAGTTTTAGGGCAGGGAAATGTCCGCCGCGCTGCCGTAATACTTGTTGACGGACTTCACATGTCATCGATTTTTTTTATTTCTTAGACACGCAGGTTTCCTCACGATGTTTTCCTTAATCGCCGAGCACGTGGTAAACTAGCACTTAAAATTGCAACTAACAATTTCTCATTTATGCCGGCTGGGTTCAAACCCGCGTTGCTAATGTAAAATTTACTGAACTACCACAGCTCCCTACATATACATATAGTAACATACACGGATATACATATACTTGAAAACATTACCCTCTTTCTAGAGCAGACGAGCAAAAAATTAACAAAAAAATATATGAACGTCACACAAGTTCGGACTTACCTTGTGGGAAACCAACTGCCTCCAATCCGTGATGCGTTAATCCAAAAGGCCCCAAACCGCCCAAAGGCCCTGGCCCCATACCCATGTGATGAGCACTGGAATGGTGAGCATAAGGGTTCTGCGCCAACGGTGACGGCTGCTTCAGATAATGAAAGTAGTGGTGCAGGGGTGTGGTGGAGTGGTGTGCTTGTGGCGCCGTCGGCCCCGTGGCCGTTGGGCCAGACGCCGACGCTGAATTCGTCAACAGCGCCATACTATTTTTATTTTGTTTCAAAAGCGAAGGTAGTCACCGCGTCAGCCTCTTCCGCGTGTGTATTGACATGGTTATTGGTTGTTGCTTTTTTAATTTGTTGCGATGCAAGATAGCTGTTGCGATGACATTTTGTGTAAATCTGAAACAATAGAGACTCATTTAGTTTTAATATTGCAATTGACTGCCTCGTTGGTCTAGTGGTTGTAGTAGTGCGACTGCTGATCATGAGGTCCTGGGTTCGAATCCCGGGTCGGGCCAAAAAATCAATTATTGAGTTTTTCTGTCAAGAAATTCTCAGTAGCCGCCCGGAGTCAGGAAGTTGGCGGTGTCTCACCCCCGTGCCTCTGAAAGCACGTAAAGCCGTTGGACCAGCGCCTGATCTCTCTCCGGTCGTGTCGATTTACCGTCCCATCGGGCTATGAGAATGAGGGAATTTTTTTAATTTAGAATTTTTGCAGGTATTGAATTTGTAAGTAGCCATTACTTAGTTAGTTGACATTATTGTTCTACCAAAATTGATTAGTGTATTGATAATGTACTCGTATTAGGTGTATTGATGATTATTAGAATTGAATTTATTATATAAACTTTACTTGCATGCCGTCAAAATGTTATAAAAATTATTAATTAAATTGCTAATTGATCGGGCTGAGATTGTAAATTTGCATGCCTCCTGGTAGAACATAGAGAGTCATTGTAAAACATTGTAATACCTCTGTATTTACCTGTGTTAAGCAAATAAATATTATTTGCTGAACATAGGGTTATTATTTTATTAGATTATTATTATCATTATTAATAATACTTGTAAAAAGTCATTTTTTTACTTTAAACACTAATAAAACTCAGTAGTGCCAACATACTGTGAAATTTAAGTCAGTAAGTATATAAATATAATAATATTTGAAATAAAATATTATGTTATAATACGCATGTAAACATAAAAAGTTTTAAGCACTTATCAATTGAACGCTGTAACAATTAGAAAATGTATTTTCAAAGCGCGTTTAATTGTAATTTAAATACATATTTCCGCCTCACGGAACATTAATATTAGCTTTCGATTGCACTCACGTCGTTCACAATTATAAAGAGTGTCGATCATTTTTTGCGTCATTTATCCATCGCTACAATTAGCCGTGTTATTGGGAAATTTTCTGTTCTATTGCAACACAATGCCGCAAGTCAAATGCGCGGGAACGCCTTGTGAGTTCGTGAATGAGCGTTAGATTCGTCACGACCCGGATCGTTCGAGGCTTCGGATTGCAATTTTAAAGGATGTTGTAGGGTTCCGTACACCGTACGATCCAGAATCTTCGAGATGTAGAATTGCAATATAAAACCTTAAAAGTCCTATGAAATAAGATGATTGCCTTCTGTAACTGCGCAGTGCCCTCTGACGAAACTTTTCAATTACTACCATTTCATTTTTCTTTATCAACAAGTAAAGGTCTTGAACTGGAGCTTCTCCCTTTGTTTTTTTTTATTGTAGGATAGGGTGACAAACGAGCACATAGTCCACCTGATGGTAAGTGGTTGCTGTGACCCATAGACATCTACATCTATTCTCTATTTTGAATCAAAATGCAGCTATGCGTTGTCACCCGTGAGGACTTGGAATGCCTCGTTTCCAGTAAAAAGGGTCTCCGGTTCTCTACACGCACCATATGAAGCACAGCAGAACAATTACCACTTGATTCAGCAAATAGAAGAAAAAAAAAAGAAAAAAAAGAAAAAACCCCCCCACCCCCCACCCAAAAAAAAAAAAAAAAAAAAAAAAGCGCGTTAATAGCTAAACATCTTCATCTCCAAAATGCCTTTTTTCTTTTTTAAAAATTTTCCTTTTTTTTAAAAAAAAGGCCAATCTTAATTTCCCCTCTCCCCCCCAAAAAACAACTTTTTTTTAAAAAAAAAAAAAAAATATTTAATAATTATTTTTTTTTTTGTGGGAGGTGTTTAATTAAAAAATAAAAAAAAAAAAAATAAAAAAAATCCCCAAAAAAAATACCCCATTACCCGCGCGCAACACCCCCTCTTTCCCAATCACCCCCCCCCCCCCACCCCCCCCCCCCCCCCTTTTTTTTTTTTACAATTTTACACTGTTATGTTGTGAGAGCGTTGTCCTAGTCCCGGTCTAACCGACCCATTCGTGCTACAACTAATATAGCTACAGCATGGCTCTGTTTTATAATTTTTGTTCTACAGTTAGCATGACGTTTATGAACAAAATGATGTATTTACAATAATTATAACTTAACAAAAATAAAAACCGACTTCAAATTGCTAAAAAAGAAGTTAGGTATTTATTTACAACCCTTAAGGGTGACATTTTTTCTCCAAATTTATATGTGGTCCCATATAACCCTTGAAATATAACCTATTTAAGAAAAATAACCATTGAAATCAGTTGTTTGTCTTCAAAGATATCATATGAAATTTCTTAAACAATAGTCCAATATGAAACTTTTTTCCCTATTTTGTACCCATGGAGGCGGAATTTTTTCTTCAAAATTTAATGGGACCAACCTCGAGGTAAAGCCTATTTAATTCGGATAAACATAAATTGTTGTCCATTAGTCTCGCTAAAACTCGAAACTGGCTCGACCGATTTTGATTAAAAAATTTCTGTGTTTGAGTGGGTTTCTATATATGGTTTAGATTTACAGTTAGACCCGGTAGATGGCGCTGTTGGCGAGATCCAGAAATTGCCCGTGCGAAGCCGGGGTGAATCGCTAGCCTTATCTACATAATAATATGTTCAGCTACCTAAGCTTTCTCAAAGTGATAGGTACATTATAATAATAACCTTTAAGAGTTAATACAAAAAACACAAATCTTATTGAACACCAAACTGATGCAAATCGCAAAAATTTAAACAGTCTACAATTTATTTAATATCTACAGAACCTCCTTGTAACACGTGTCGAGAATGTACCTTACCGGTAGTTTTTTTTTTTTTTGAGTTTGTTAAGGAATATGTAGGTACATGTTTACAGACATTTTGTCACGTTTATTTTTTTTTCGAATGTTACCTGAGATTCCTTTGGCAAATTTTTTGATGGGACTACGAACACGCTTTGTGTTGCAATGGGTATATCAATGTGATGACATATGAAACGGAAAAGGGCATGATACGTAACTAAGCAAATATCATCTTTTATATTTTTTTTCTTTTCAATATACTTTTCTATTTGGTATTATAAAGCGTTTACGAGTTAGGTCAAAGCATAAAGGAAACTTGTACCTTAAAATTAAAAAAATCCTACAGTTAATTTCATGTTTGCCCTACCAGCTCATGGGATAATCAATTCCTGTATAATATTATATTAAATTTTAATTAAAAATCAAGTATCTTTTTTAGAATTTATTTATGGCTGTATGAGCTAGGATCCCTTTGCCTTCCCTGCACAGTAAAATATTACGAAAAAGCAAGTTATGTAAACAAATAATTTTTTGTGTTTTTGTTTCCCCATATAATTAACAATACACGTTTATTTCGAGCTTCTAACACCTGTAGCAGTAAAATATAGTAAAATAAAAAGCATACATTGAAACAGAAATTTCTAAAGAAAAAAATGCTCTATGCCATAGTCTTGTAGAACGAGAAAGCCTATGGGTAGCAGTATGACTTAAATTAAATGGTTCCTAAACGGTCTATGAAAACTAAATCTTGTTAGAACATACTCGCAGCTCAGCAATATTGCCAGCAATACTCTTGCTGCAACACCTGGCAGAATATTTTTCGGTAATATTTCCACAACTATATTATAAGAGAGTGTGGAAAAACAATAAAAAGAGTTTTTAATCTGTACTAATGCTGTTGTTTCGTATATTATATAATTTATAGACGTTACATTGAGCTCGTGATATTCTTTAATTATAAAAATCTGACTTAAGAAATAAAAAGCATGTGTACGATTTATTACCGATAAATCTCAAACTTATTCGATGCTGTTTTTCTTGATATATTTAATAGTGAAGGAGGTTTATGTATAACGTGGTAGAGCCTCGGTGCAACTGTATTATGGTTATAGCCGAATGGGATGTCTCAACGAGGAAGGACCACGCTCTCGCAGGACACCAGCGTAAATAGCAGCTTAATGCTGCTGTGTTTCTTAAGGTTACCAGGATATTAAAACCAAAAACTAAAAAATATGTATCTTTGATCTAAGTTTCCTTTCAAATAACTTTATTTATCTACAGTGAAAGTAACAACAGATAATTATAACAACAGTATTTTTTATTATATTGTCACTTTCGCCTAGCTCCAACTAATAGTTATTGATTCTAAGAATAACGTACCGTATTCTTAAGCCACCTTGAGTCTGTCAACAGATTATCCCTAAAACCACAGATACTATCTAACCGCTAACTTCTTATCATTGGAATACCAACCTTATTCAATTTCAGCAAGTTGTAATTTACATTACACGTACTTAAAAAAAAGAAATCAAGTTACAAATGAAATTCGATTTTTTCGGAACGCAGTAAAGACTATTTTAGATTAAATGAAAAGGGGTTCTTTTTGCAAGGATTTCTGCTTGAGCGAAATTTTGGCGGCAACGTCTTAAAAGGTGTTCAATTGTATAACTAAAGTGCAGGCCACACTTGGGTTTTTCGTTTGGTACGTAGAAGTGTGTACGCATCATTAATTTTTAAATGTAAAAGTAAGAAGTCGAACGATAGGTATTAATTCATAACGAGTTAAACATCAAACTCTGTAACGCATTTTTTTAAATTAACAAATGACTACGCAGCCCACTTGATGGTGAGTGTATACCTACTATGGCCCAGACATTTTAATCTGTTCTCGATTTATTTTTGGATATACGTAGATTAAGAAATCGGAAATGGATCGAAATGTCTATTGGCCAGTATTCACCTACTATCAGGTGGACTGTACAGTCGACGCACGTTTATCGTCTTAATCTACAAACAGCCTAGCCTAGCTATCTTCATGCTAGTTGACGATCAATCCCAGATCAAGAGAATATTCCAGC